TTCTCTGAGAGCTCTGGGTGTCGGTGCAGGTCGGGAGTCAGGACGGCGGGCAGTGTCCTCCCGGGCTCTGCAGGCCCTGCCGGAGCTGAGGGCAGGGCTCTGTCGGCCCCCCAGGACCCGCCTCTCTGCAGTTTACACATCCGGTGCTTCTCCTGAGTTGCATTCTCTTTCCAAAAATCTCACAGATCCAGCCCTGGGGTGTGGGGAGAAGGCCGCCTGTGGTCTGAGGGTCCCACTCCTGGGCAGCCTCCCTCCTCCCCCGCACGGCTCCTGGCACCCGGCGCTCTGGCCTGGTCCCACGTCCCTCTCCTGGCTCACAGCTCTCTCTGCAGCCCAGTTTATCTGCAACCGTCTTTCAGGTGCATTCCCCCCATGCCTTTAGGATATTGCGGGACTTCTCCAAAAGAAAGGAAATTAGGAAGAGGCCGTGGGGCAGAGAGGGAGGGAGAGAGGATCTCCGTTCTTCACGGAGCGTTTCCATCCGTACTTCGCGAGTGCGTGGAGGGCTGCTGTTTCTCCTGACCAGCAGAGCTCGCTAAGGACAGAGTTTGCAGGAAGAAGGCCCTGCAGGTGGGGTGCCCAGGCCCAGTCTGACCTCTGGTCCGAGTGGCTGATTCAGAGGGTCTTCACACCCCAGCCACTGGGGAGAGCGGCCGCCCTGCCACTAACCCAGCCGCACTATCGGCAAGACGGGCGAGACATCGTGTCCCCTGTCCTTGCACTGCCAGGTGGGTGAGAGCGCTTTGAAGCCAGCTCTGAGTGTGCTGCAGTGCGCTGTGCTGGAGAAGCCGGATCCCACATGGCACGTGGCCGTGGCAGCTTGAGTCCCGGGCCTGGTCAGCCTGGAAGCGCGTGCGGGAGCCGCAGGACCCGATGGCCGTTGGCCTGGAAGGAGTTGTGGCAAGACCAGATCTGGTGGAGGGGGTCATCTTTTTCTCTCTTAATCATGTGTGTAAGCGGAATCCTGTCATGAACAAAAGAGAAAAAAAAAAAAAAAAGATTGCCTTGAATCAGAAATACAGGTCTCCCCCAGTTAGAGTGAGGAAGTAACAGCTGCCCCTGCAAAGCAGAGCACGACTAGCAGTTGCTAAGACACATCCAAACGCCGGCCTGTAGCCCGCCTCTCGTCCTGTGTGACCTGGGCAAGTCACTTTCCTGCTCTGGGCTTCAGTTTGCAGCTGTGGAAATACACACTCGACTCAGACATTCTCTTATCACCCGCGGTGATAGACGACCCACACTTTGTTTTAGAATGATTTAATTAGCTGTATTTGTTACTATTATTATTTTTAATTTGCTATATATGGAGCATTTGTGCTCACCAAAGAACGACAGAGAGAGAGACAGAGGGAAAGTGAGAAAGCTAGCTGCCTGGTCCAAAACTTGAACCACAGTCGGCCACATGGGAGTCCGGCATCCCAACCACCGTGCCACCTGCCGGCCCAGAAGACCCATTCTTAACACAAGAGGGAAGAACTTTCTGGTGGGGCTACAGAGCTGGGCAGGGTGGGTCAGAGTCCGGATCCATCTCCAGCATCCCCCGGGAGCCCGAGGCTGAGGACGGGGCTGGGAGCACCCCGTATTTGCAGCTGTGTACGGCCGGCTCCTCCCAGTGCCCTGAGCACATTCGACAGTCTCTAACCCCACTCAGCACAGGAGCTGGCCCGAGGGCATGGGCACAGGCCCGGCTTCAACTCTGCCTTTTCTTTTCCTTTTAGGTTTTTTTTCATAGGGTGTGTGCACTCACTGGAGAGACAGACAGACAGACAGTAGAGAGGGAAAGTGAGAAACCACCCCCCCCCCCCGGGGGGGTACCAAACAAAAAGAGGATAGCCACACCACAATCCCTTCTCCTCCTGGGATTTCTAGAACACACACACAGGTGCCCTGCATGATTTTCAAGCCACTGGGTCTGGGACTTGAACCATGGTTGGCCATGCAGGAGTCCAGCACCTTAACCAACATGCCACCTGCTGGCCCCCAAAGCTGCCTTTTCTTTTAGGGTGTGTGTGTTTCACTTGCCGGGAGGTGCCTTCTGCCCAGCGGGCACAATGAGGGCAGCAGGACCAAGGCTCGGGCTGCAGCTGCTGATGAAGGGTATCTTTCAGGTGAACCCCCAGGAGACGATGTCCCACGCGGGGGACTGTACGTGGGCACCCTGGCTCCCCGTCCTGGTGGTAAGTGGGCCCAAGGCCCTCCCCACACCGCACCCTCACCTGGCTGGTTCAGGGGGATTTCCCACCCAGCGACACCGCCTGAGACCGGCTCCCTGGCCTCGCAAGCCTGTCCCTGCAGCTGCAGACTGGCACAGTGCTGGCACTGCCTCCGCAGGCTCGCCCGTGGGGCCCGCCCCCGCCCGGGCTCAGACACGCGTAGTCAGATGTCCTGGATGGGAACACCCTCAAGTCCTCCTGTGCTATGGTACACACTCCTGCCCACGTGGCGCGCCCACACGGTGGGCCAGACAGCTGAGAAGGAGCCAGGAGACCCAGCCCCACCCCGGGGGCTCCCCGAGGCCAGCGCTCCACTCCACAGGAGCAGCCCCGCTCTGTCAGGCTCGAGGAGACCCTCGCCCGACCTTGGAGACTGTGGGTGGAGAGAATTCGGAACTTGCCCAGGGATGGGGTTTGGACCGTGCCGGCGGGGGTGCTCCAGGCAGGCGGAGGTTGGGGGCGCCAGCAGCTCACAGTTACCGGGGACGTAGCACCTCGTGAGCACGCGCTGGCTGGACCTTTCCAGAGGAGCGTCCAGGGCGCCTCCTCCCTCAGCTGACCCTGACCTGTGTCCGGGAGGTGAGAGGCCCAATCGCCCCTTGTCGTGACAGGTGTCTCTGATGTGCTCAGCCAGAGCAGAGTACTCCAACTGCGGCGAGAACGAGTACTACAACCAGACCACGGGGCTGTGCCAGGAGTGCCCCCCGTGTGGGCCCGGCGAGGAGCCCTACCTGGTAAGGCCGCTCCTCCCGCCGGCCGCTGCCGTGCCTCAGTGTGTGGCCCGGGCATGGGAGCGGAACGCCGCGGTGGGGGCCCCAGTGGCACTCTGGGCTGGGGGCGGCCGGGCGAGGAGCGCATGCTCCTTCCTCCAGAGTGGGAGGGTCTCCAGAGAGTTCACGGAAAAGCAGATTATGAAAAAGCTGTGAGTAAACTGCAAAACCTTTTTGCATCAAAATAAGCTCATATTGGGAACCAGCAGTTAGCGTAATGGCTATGTCGCTGGACTCCCACGTAGTTGACCGCGGTTCGCGTCCTGGACCCGGTGGCTTAAAACTCACGCCGGACGTGTGTGCATGCGTGCCCAAGATCCCGAGAGGAGAATGGGGGAGAAGGGATTGCAGCGTGACCATCCCCCCTGGGGGGTGATTTCTCGCTTTCTGTCTCTATGTCTCTCTCTGTCTGTCTGGCGAGTGCACACACCCTATAGCAAAAACCTCTCCAAAAACAAAAAAGATAAATGTGATTTAACGTAACATAAAAAAAAAGATTATGATAATAAAGAAAATTAAATTTAAAAAAAAAGAATTGTTTTATTTAAAAAAAAAAAAGTTCATATTTAAATTCCATTTTCCTGCCATTTATTTTTTAATTGCCCGAGGGAGTTGTACTTCCCAGAGAGCGGTGGAGAGGGAGAAAGCAGCCCCAGTGGGGTGCGGTCACAGCGCAGTCCTCCCTCCTCCGTTTCTCCTTCCTGTCAGGATTGGGGGCAGGCCTGCTCACATGACTGGGGTGTTTTTCAAGCCCCCAGGGCCGGGATTCAAACTGCGCTGTTAGCCATGTGGAGTCCACTCTCTTAGCCACCAGGCCACAGACTGGCCCTCTGTGAGCCTTCCCAAGTCCCCTCGCCCGTCTTGCCCTGCCTCTACTGGGCGGGCGTCAGTCGTCTGGCCTGGAGCATCTCTGGCCACTCTCGGGCGACAGCGCCCACTTCCTGCAGAGGTGGGGCATGGCATTGGTAAAGTGCTTGGAGAATCGGTCAGGGTCTCCGTTCCAGGTACCTGCAGAGCTCCAGAGGAGCCGGACACCGGGGGCGAGGTGCAGAGCCAGGGTGGGTGGAGCCGGGTTCCTGAAGGTTGGGTGGTCGGGAGCCGAGGCCCGCTGAGCCCGCAGTGTGTGGCTGCCCTCCTGCCCTCAGCCGGTCCTCGCGGGCGGCTGCATGCTCACGGGCCTGTCCTGTCCCTGCAGTCCTGCGGTTACGGCACCAAAGACGAGGACTACGGCTGCGTGCCCTGCCCGGCCGAGAAGTTCTCCAAGGGCGGCTACCAGATCTGCAGGCGCCACAAGGACTGTGAGGGCTTCTTCCGGGCCACCGTGCTGACGCCCGGGGACATGGAAAACGACGCCGAGTGTGGGCCATGTCTCCCCGGGTGAGGGCGAGCACTGCGGGCAGACGAAGGGTGAGGGAGGGCCCGGCAGGCCCCGAGCGGGACTGCTGCCTCTTGCCAGCCCCCTCTCAGGACTGGGAGCCGGCTCTCAGAAGGACTGAGCTTACAGAGAGACAGCACATGCGAAATGCTTTGGGAAAAAGAAAACTCAAATTCCACAGTGTTATTTTTCATTTTCTTAGGTAATTTTTAGCTTTTTGGTCTCTGCCATAGGACACATACCCTCACTGAAGAGACAGAGACAGCAAGAGGGACAGTGAGAAATCACCCCACAGTGAGGATGGCCACACCTCAGTCCCTCCTCCTCCTGGGATTTGGGGCACACGAATGCTCCCAGCATGAGTTTCAAGCGGCCGAATCCGGGACTTGAACCACAGTCAGCCATGTGGGCGTTCTTAACCACTGCTGGCTCTTAGTCTTAGTATTGCGTCATTGAAAAAGTCATGACATAGTTTTCTATGCAAAAATGTCTCATGGCTCTTCCAATGATCAGTACTTGTTCTATCTGAGCTACTACCAGGAATATTTGAGTCAGGTGAGGCCTATAACTCCACCACAGTTCTGTCGTGTCTCCGAGGGCTTTCTGAAAGTGACACACATGGAAGTGAAAGTGCAGTCAACCTGCAAGACAGACAGATAGGATCTTCCTTTTCAAGGCAGGACCCGTTGGCAGGATCTTCCTGGGTCAAGGAGGACAGCCTGGACAGCTGTAGACCCCGAGCCTAGCCGTTGCCGCCACCTCCCACCTAGTGACCACAAAGATCATGCTTTTCCTGGTGGTGCAGGTGAGACAGCGGAAGTGGAGGTGCCATGCAGGCGATGGTGATGAAGAAGGTGATGGTAGTGAGGGGGGTGGCAGTGACCATGCAGGCGCCGACGGTGGGGGTGATGACGGTGCTGGAGGCAGAGAGGGTGCAGAGGGTGGGGATGAGGTGATGGAGGCAGAGAGGGTGCAGAGGGTGGGGATGAGGTGATGGAGGCAGAGAGGGTGCAGAGGGTGGGGATGAGGTGCTGGAGGCAGAGAGGGTGCAGAGGGTGGGGATGAGGTGCTGGAGGCAGAGAGGGTGCAGAGGGTGGGGATGAGGTGATGGAGGCAGAGAGGGTGCAGAGGGTGGGGATGAGGTGATGGAGGCAGAGAGGGTGCAGAGGGTGGGGATGAGGTGATGGAGGCAGAGAGGGTGCAGAGGGTGGGGATGAGGTGATGGAGGCAGAGAGGGTGCAGAGGGTGGGGATGAGGTGATGGAGGCAGAGAGGGTGCAGAGGGTGGGGATGAGGTGATGGAGGCAGAGAGGGTGCAGAGGGTGGGGATGAGGTGATGGAGGCAGAGAGGGTGCAGAGGGTGGGGATGAGGTGATGGAGGCAGAGAGGGTGCAGAGGGTGGGGATGAGGTGATGGAGGCAGAGAGGGTGCAGAGGGTGGGGATGAGGTGATGGAGGCAGAGAGGGTGCAGAGGGTGGGGATGAGGTGATGGAGGCAGAGAGGGTGCAGAGGGTGGGGATGAGGTGATGGAGGCAGAGAGGGTGCAGAGGGTGGGGATGAGGTGATGGAGGCAGAGAGGGTGCAGAGGGTGGGGATGAGGTGATGGAGGCAGAGAGGGTGCAGAGGGTGGGGATGAGGTGATGGAGGCAGAGAGGGTGCAGAGGGTGGGGATGAGGTGATGGAGGCAGAGAGGGTGCAGAGGGTGGGGATGAGGTGATGGAGGCAGAGAGGGTGCAGAGGGTGGGGATGAGGTGATGGAGGCAGAGAGGGTGCAGAGGGTGGGGATGAGGTGATGGAGGCAGAGAGGGTGCAGAGGGTGGGGATGAGGTGATGGAGGCAGAGAGGGTGCAGAGGGTGGGGATGAGGTGATGGAGGCAGAGAGGGTGCAGAGGGTGGGGATGAGGTGATGGAGGCAGAGAGGGTGCAGAGGGTGGGGATGAGGTGATGGAGGCAGAGAGGGTGCAGAGGGTGGGGATGAGGTGATGGAGGCAGAGAGGGTGCAGAGGGTGGGGATGAGGTGATGGAGGCAGAGAGGGTGCAGAGGGTGGGGATGAGGTGATGGAGGCAGAGAGGGTGCAGAGGGTGGGGATGAGGTGATGGAGGCAGAGAGGGTGCAGAGGGTGGGGATGAGGTGATGGAGGCAGAGAGGGTGCAGAGGGTGGGGATGAGGTGATGGAGGCAGAGAGGGTGCAGAGGGTGGGGATGAGGTGATGGAGGCAGAGAGGGTGCAGAGGGTGGGGATGAGGTGATGGAGGCAGAGAGGGTGCAGAGGGTGGGGATGAGGTGATGGAGGCAGAGAGGGTGCAGAGGGTGGGGATGAGGTGATGGAGGCAGAGAGGGTGCAGAGGGTGGGGATGAGGTGATGGAGGCAGAGAGGGTGCAGAGGGTGGGGATGAGGTGATGGAGGCAGAGAGGGTGCAGAGGGTGGGGATGAGGTGATGGAGGCAGAGAGGGTGCAGAGGGTGGGGATGAGGTGATGGAGGCAGAGAGGGTGCAGAGGGTGGGGATGAGGTGATGGAGGCAGAGAGGGTGCAGAGGGTGGGGATGAGGTGATGGAGGCAGAGAGGGTGCAGAGGGTGGGGATGAGGTGATGGAGGCAGAGAGGGTGCAGAGGGTGGGGATGAGGTGATGGAGGCAGAGAGGGTGCAGAGGGTGGGGATGAGGTGATGGAGGCAGAGAGGGTGCAGAGGGTGGGGATGAGGTGATGGAGGCAGAGAGGGTGCAGAGGGTGGGGATGAGGTGATGGAGGCAGAGAGGGTGCAGAGGGTGGGGATGAGGTGATGGAGGCAGAGAGGGTGCAGAGGGTGGGGATGAGGTGATGGAGGCAGAGAGGGTGCAGAGGGTGGGGATGAGGTGATGGAGGCAGAGAGGGTGCAGAGGGTGGGGATGAGGTGATGGAGGCAGAGAGGGTGCAGAGGGTGGGGATGAGGTGATGGAGGCAGAGAGGGTGCAGAGGGTGGGGATGAGGTGATGGAGGCAGAGAGGGTGCAGAGGGTGGGGATGAGGTGATGGAGGCAGAGAGGGTGCAGAGGGTGGGGATGAGGTGATGGAGGCAGAGAGGGTGCAGAGGGTGGGGATGAGGTGATGGAGGCAGAGAGGGTGCAGAGGGTGGGGATGAGGTGATGGAGGCAGAGAGGGTGCAGAGGGTGGGGATGAGGTGATGGAGGCAGAGAGGGTGCAGAGGGTGGGGATGAGGTGATGGAGGCAGAGAGGGTGCAGAGGGTGGGGATGAGGTGATGGAGGCAGAGAGGGTGCAGAGGGTGGGGATGAGGTGATGGAGGCAGAGAGGGTGCAGAGGGTGGGGATGAGGTGATGGAGGCAGAGAGGGTGCAGAGGGTGGGGATGAGGTGATGGAGGCAGAGAGGGTGCAGAGGGTGGGGATGAGGTGATGGAGGCAGAGAGGGTGCAGAGGGTGGGGATGAGGTGATGGAGGCAGAGAGGGTGCAGAGGGTGGGGATGAGGTGATGGAGGCAGAGAGGGTGCAGAGGGTGGGGATGAGGTGATGGAGGCAGAGAGGGTGCAGAGGGTGGGGATGAGGTGATGGAGGCAGAGAGGGTGCAGAGGGTGGGGATGAGGTGATGGAGGCAGAGAGGGTGCAGAGGGTGGGGATGAGGTGATGGAGGCAGAGAGGGTGCAGAGGGTGGGGATGAGGTGATGGAGGCAGAGAGGGTGCAGAGGGTGGGGATGAGGTGATGGAGGCAGAGAGGGTGCAGAGGGTGGGGATGAGGTGATGGAGGCAGAGAGGGTGCAGAGGGTGGGGATGAGGTGATGGAGGCAGAGAGGGTGCAGAGGGTGGGGATGAGGTGATGGAGGCAGAGAGGGTGCAGAGGGTGGGGATGAGGTGATGGAGGCAGAGAGGGTGCAGAGGGTGGGGATGAGGTGATGGAGGCAGAGAGGGTGCAGAGGGTGGGGATGAGGTGATGGAGGCAGAGAGGGTGCAGAGGGTGGGGATGAGGTGATGGAGGCAGAGAGGGTGCAGAGGGTGGGGATGAGGTGATGGAGGCAGAGAGGGTGCAGAGGGTGGGGATGAGGTGATGGAGGCAGAGAGGGTGCAGAGGGTGGGGATGAGGTGATGGAGGCAGAGAGGGTGCAGAGGGTGGGGATGAGGTGATGGAGGCAGAGAGGGTGCAGAGGGTGGGGATGAGGTGATGGAGGCAGAGAGGGTGCAGAGGGTGGGGATGAGGTGATGGAGGCAGAGAGGGTGCAGAGGGTGGGGATGAGGTGATGGAGGCAGAGAGGGTGCAGAGGGTGGGGATGAGGTGATGGAGGCAGAGAGGGTGCAGAGGGTGGGGATGAGGTGATGGAGGCAGAGAGGGTGCAGAGGGTGGGGATGAGGTGATGGAGGCAGAGAGGGTGCAGAGGGTGGGGATGAGGTGATGGAGGCAGAGAGGGTGCAGAGGGTGGGGATGAGGTGATGGAGGCAGAGAGGGTGCAGAGGGTGGGGATGAGGTGATGGAGGCAGAGAGGGTGCAGAGGGTGGGGATGAGGTGATGGAGGCAGAGAGGGTGCAGAGGGTGGGGATGAGGTGATGGAGGCAGAGAGGGTGCAGAGGGTGGGGATGAGGTGATGGAGGCAGAGAGGGTGCAGAGGGTGGGGATGAGGTGATGGAGGCAGAGAGGGTGCAGAGGGTGGGGATGAGGTGATGGAGGCAGAGAGGGTGCAGAGGGTGGGGATGAGGTGATGGAGGCAGAGAGGGTGCAGAGGGTGGGGATGAGGTGATGGAGGGTGTAGGAGGGGAGGGTGGGGATGGTCATGGAGGCAGCGAGGGTGCAGGTGTGTGTGGAATGACGGGAAACCCAACACAGAGCTGATGAAGAGGGTGAGGCTTGGGGGGGGGTGCTCGCCTGCTGGTGCGGGTCGCAGGTGTGTGTGGAATGACGGGAAACCCAACACAGAGCTGATGAAGAGGGTGAGGCTTGTGGTGGACGTCCAGCCTGAGGGTCGGGACCGGGACGGCCATGCACTGAAGGTGCTGGGCCAAGTAGCCGGGCAGGACCCAGAACCTGAGCAGGGCCTGTGCCAGAGGAATGCTGCCCCACTGGCCTGGACTTCAGGAAGCTGACCTGGGGCCTATCCCCTTCCAGAGGTGCACACGCAGGATGTGGGGACCCTGGTGAAGTCGGCGGTGGCCCAGGGAGAACAGGCTTGCTGCTGCCACAGTTCAGCATGCAGAAGGGAAGTGACGCTCGGGCTACACGTGAGAACGACCCTCTTGGCAGCCGTGGAGGAGATGGCTGAGATGGAGCACAGGGACCAGGGCGAGGAGGGCCCGGTGAGAGCGGGGACAGGGCAGAGGCATCGGGGTCAGGGGAGAGGAGAAGCTGGGCGCTCCTAGGCGGGTGGCACAGGAGTGCAGGCGGCGTACAGAGTGGGGAGTGAGGTTTAAAGGACTCTCAGAACTCCGCCCCACCACGAGGCATGAGGAAGAGGAGGTTTGGTGGGAGCTGGAGGGTGGATGAGACTGTGTGTGGAATGACGTGAAATCCAAGACAGAGCTGACGAAGAGGGTGAGGCTTGTGGTGGACGTCCAGCTGAGGGTGAGGACGGGGACGGCCATGCACTGAAGGTGCTGGAAGCCGCTGGTGCAGACGGCAGCTTCACAGGGGAGGTGGGTGTGGATCACCTCACCATCCAGGTTTGCGGCTCTGGCCTGGCCACAGCTGGGCCGTGGCAATGCCGCATCCGCAGACTGTGGGGTTCGGCCGTGGCTTTGTTTCAGATGGGGCAGAGAATCTGCACCTGGAGGGGCCCGTTTCATGTTCACTTAGGACCACAGAAACTCTAGCCAGAAGGACTACTCTGGCTTGGGGCCAGAGTAGTGAAAACTGTCCCATAGGCAAGTGCCAGCTTGGTCACTAAAAACGGGTGACTCTGTGGCCTTAAAAACAACTTGTGAGGTGGGACTAGCAGTTGGCATTGGCTGTGTCGCTGGACTCCCATGTAATCGATTGCAGTTCGAGTCCCGGACCCAGTGGCTTAAACTCATGCTGGGTGCATGTGCGTGCTTAAGATCCCAAGAGGACAATGGAGGAGAAGGGATTGCGGCCTGGTCATGCCCCCCGGGGGGTGATTTCTCGCTCTCTATCTCTCTGTCTCTCTGTCCTTCTGGTGAGCGCACGTGCCCTGGAGCAAAAAGCTCTCCAAAAAAGAAATAATAACAACTTGTGGGTCAGCAAGTGACATGGTGAGGGTGCTGGGCTCCCACGTAGTCGAGTCCCCAAACCTGGTGGCTTGAAATCCACACCAGGCACATGTGACTTTCTCCTCCCAAAATCCCAGGAGGAGAAGGGAGGAGTAGGGAGTGCAGCGTGGCCATCCCCCCCGGGAAGCGATTTCTCGCTTTCCCTCTCACGGTCTCTCTGTCTCTCTGGTGACACACACGCCCTATGACAAAAACCTTAAAAATAAATAAATAAAAAAGAACTCATTGGTCCTGACAATTTACCTGAAAGTGACCACCGAACACCTTGGCCGGTGGAAGACCACCAGCACCTTCCCTGGAAGGATTCGGTGTGGATGGGGGCGGCAGCGCTGGGTGGGGGCAGGAGGGGTGCCATCTGTGCTTTCAGACAGTTTTGTCCAGACCTAAAAGCCTGAGTAGCTCTGTCCCTGCCCCCTGGGGACAGCGACCTGCTCAGATCACACTGTCTCGTGCCCCCAGGCGGGTGAGGGTGCAGGAGCCACCTGGCCGCCATCGGAGCTCCCGGATGTGGAGGCTTCCTGTCAGTTCCCTTTGGCTCTGTGATGTGACCTGCCTGTTTAACTCAGTCACTTCCAGCCCTCAGGCCACGAAATACAAGGCCCTTACCTCTGCCCCCGCCCAGGCTCGCGGCCCCTCACCTGCTGGCGCTGGCAGCTCAATGAAAGGCCGTTTTCTTTCCAGACCCCCTTGGCGGCTCTCAGGCCAGGGATGTAGACTGCCGGCTTTGTCTCTCTACGCCACAGGGCGCCTCGGCCCCCACCCAGCCTGCCGTGGGCTGGCAGGTGCCCCTCCCTGTCCTCTCTCTGCCACGTCTGAATGCACCGACACTGGCGGGACCCTGAGCACCACGGGGCTCAGTGGGGAAAGGCTCGCATGGAGGGCCAGGAAACAGCAGAAGAGAGTCAGGAGGTTGGTTTCGCAGCCTCCCCCAGGGGATGGTGCGCCCCAGAAGCTCCCTGGCTAGTGCCACCCACGCCCTCTGTGTAAGAGGTGGGAGCTGTTGGGGCAGGTGGGGGACAGCAGTGGCTGCTTCTGTCCGTCCATGTTGGAGGGAAAGTGAGCGTCTGGAGGGCAGGTGGGTGGCCAGTGCTCGGCCGCCGGTAGTCCTGAGCAAAGGCCGTCTCTGGGGATCAAGTGTATCTGCCGGTATCTGCCATGGGTGGCAGAGGCCCGTGGGTTCCTGCTTCTGCTTCAGTCCATAAGCTGGAGATGAGGGCCCCACGAGAGCACCGTGCCCTGGCCCCGGGCACACAGAGGGCACAGCCGCTTAGGGCCCTGGCTCGGTTTCCAGGCCAACCTGAACACACCAGGCATGGCTGTGCCCTGTGAGGCTGGGGCAGGAGGATCACAGCATGGTGAGAGCCCCAGGGGCACCCAAATCTATACCCAGCTCGTACACCCCCCACATGGCTTTGGGGCTTCATCGAAGAAGCAGCCCAGCAGCTGGGGCCTTAACCGGGATGGACATGGGTGCCCTCGGGGCTCCTGTCCCTCTCGGCACTGGACTCTGGGGAACCAGTGCTGTGCACTACTAGGGACGACGTGGGGAGAATGCCACGGCAGTGGCAGCCTGAGACGTTTCCCAGGAGTGGCTCCTTTGGCCTGTCCCCCTCCAGAGGCTGCTGGACATGGCCCCCTGCTGGGAGCAGACCCATGCTGTGGCTCCCCCCCTCCCAGACAGCCATGGCTCTGCGGGGAGCAGATGTGAGGGAGGCTTTCCAGAGGCTTAGCTGTAGGGCTGCTGCCGTGGGTCTCCAGGGGTGCTCTGAGAGCGCTTAATTAATGTTTACAAGTGCACGGGATCCGGGGATCAAAGGCTTTGCGGAAGGGCAGGTAATTATGATGGTAATGTTTCTGGTACCCATCCAGGCTCAGAGGCTGAGTCCAAAGACTCCCCTGCCCAGCCCTCCTGCCCCGAGCTGCCGTGAACCACCGCTGTTAGTGGGGTCTTTGTGGCACTTTGTGGTGCACGGCTGACAAAAAGGAGGTTGGGGAACAACCACAGAAAACCCTGTAGCGGACAGGGACTTTTCAGCCCTTGATGGCAACTGGGAGGCGCTGGCAGCCCCGTCCCTCGTGGGCCTCTCATAATACGAGACCTGGCTCTGCGCTCAGGAATGTTTGCTCACGGAAAGTGGGCACGTGCCACGGGAGAGCTGAGCTGGGAGGGAGGAGAGGGCCTGTGGAGGGAGGGAGACCAGCTGCAAGCACGGAGTGGTCTCAGGGGACAGGCCGGGTGGCAGGCCCGTCAGCGAGGCCATGGGGCTGGGGGGCGTAGGCCGAAAGAGCACCCTGTGGGTAAAGGAGTTCCCACAGGCACTGGGAACGCCCCGTCCTGTTCCTTCAGTCACAGCCTTAGGGCAAACGCCTGCAGGTCTTCAGGTGTGGGCCCAGTGGGGGAGGAAGCCATTTCTACCTGGGTGCGAGCCGGGCTTCAAAGAGTTCATGGAAAATGCATAGGCTGAAAAAAAAAATAGATGCCTACATTTTCTACCTTGTGCCACAGTAAACTCACATTCAGTTCCATTCTGCACTGACCTTTGAAGTCCCCTGCATCTCAGCCCCTCTGGCACTGCCTTTCTGCTGCCGCCCTGCAGGTGGCCGAGAGCCCTCCATGCCCCAGGGCTCACAGGCACCAAGGCCGCCCTCCCCAGGCGGTGGGCTCCCCGTGGGAAGGACTCGCACAGAGAGCGCCCCTCCTTCAGGGCTCTGCGAGGGCTCACTGGCCCTGAGCGGGTGCGCAGGTATTTCTGGGGGGTGATGAACTCGGTGGTGATATTCACATGCAAAACTAATCCAGGGGAGAAGGAACCCAAAAAGGGAGGACAGTGAAAGAAAGACTGAAACGAGCCCGAGTTAGGTAAACAACACTTGTCCCATTTCAAGACGTGCTGAGAATCCCCAGGGAAGCTCAGTGGACAGAACGCGCTGCCGGCCGGAGGGACTCCCACTGCCACGTGCTGTCTCGTGCTGCTATTTTTTATTTATTCATTGATATCTTTTTTAAGAATTATATTTATTTTTATTTATTCATCCACTTATTTTTAATTTGACCAGAGAAAGATGCACAGGTGGAGGGAAAGTGAGAAAGCAAGCCACCAGATTTGGGACTTGAACCGTGGACGACCATGTGGGAGAGTCCAGTGCCTTAACCACCACGCCACCTGCTGGTCCCTCATTGATATCTTTTATGAGAGTCTCAGAGAGACAGAGAGAGAGAGAGAGGCTCCACTGCCCGATTCCTCCCATTGTACTCCCCCTGGCACCCCCAGCCTCAGCCAGCCAGGATCTCAGGCCAATGTGCCCAGCCAGCACAGGGTGGCCCCACAATGTGGCCCTGGACCTCCCCTGAGGGTCCAGCGTGCAGAGCATGGCACTCTGACCGCGCCCATGGGCCCCCGTGCTCCCTGGGCGGGGCCTGCCAGGAGGCCACGCGCTCTGTGCTAGGCTCACCTGTCCGCTCTGTCTTGTGCTCCCTGCAGCTACTACATGCTGGAAAACAGACCCAGGAACATCTACGGCATGGTCTGCTACTCCTGCCTCCTGGCGCCCCCCAACACCAAGGAATGTGAGTGCTCTGCGCCCGCCACCCTGCTGGCTTCACCGCGGGTGTAGAAAGCCAGGCCTGTGTGTGTCCAGACAAGACGGGTCACAGCAAGGCATAAACCAAAGCCAGCTCACCTGGCCGGGCAGCGGGTCTGGGCTGAGTCCTGGTGCAGGCGGCCCCAGCTCCCTGCAGACGTGGGACATCGGCCTCAGTTTTCTCATCGGCACGCGGACAGACTGCGTCTTCCCTCCCCAGCTCATGGGGTCACTGGGAAAGCCTGCGTGAGCACACGGGCGAAGTGCTCAGCGGCTGTGACGCCCAGGGCACTGCCCTGGGGACCG